CGGGGAACGAACCAACAACCTTCCGAATGGGGGACGACCCGCTCTGCCTCTGAGCCACAGCCGCCCCATCTTAGTCGCTTGGACAAAACTGTCTCCTGAATAAATGTAACAGCTGTTGGCCTGGTCGTCTTCTCCTTTCAGGCTGGGACAGGTGAGTTTACCTTGTAGTTTCGGCAGGTGGGGTTGAACGCGTTGGTACCGCAGGCGAACAGCGTTTCATCGTTTCGAGGCACCAACACTTTGACGTAGTTGTAGCACTCGTCCTAAAACACAGACACACACCAACAAATGGAAGCCCTCATTCATCATGTAATGATACAGCGGGATAAAATCTTATCTGTACAAGGATGAAACGTCTTCAATACGTTTGTTTTCCTGAAGCCATGAGAGTCGTTCTACCTTTATCTTTAGTGTCAGTGAACCTTGAAGAAAAAAGTAGCAATGGCTCTCATTTATCAAGTGTGTCAGAGCCTGTTTACTCCTGATATCAACCTGCGTCTTGGGTGATCAGATCACAAGTGCACAGCTCTAAATAAACAACCACAGAGACGCATATCTTTTATAGTGTAAATGCGGATGTGTCCTGGACCACGTTGAAGTCTACTCAACGGACGTCCTGTAAGTGCTCAAAAACATGTACTTATTTCTTTGTTTGTCCAAAAAACGTTTTGTCAGTTTGTACCGTAAATATTTCTTTGCATATAGAGCAAGAGGTAGAGATAAGTGAGAACCAATCACTATATTTTCTGTGTTTTATTTACAGTTTCCTGATAGAAAGATTGATAAGTAGCAAACCACTAACCTAACTGACTTAGCCAGGAGCCAAACCCGGCAAGAAAAACCACCTCAGTACTGATTACCTGTCAGACTGTTGATCTTTGAGTTTGTGTTCTGTATATTTGGTTGTTGCTGTGTGAGGAGAAACTTTGTAAAATTCTGTCTACGACAGACATTCGGCAAACATTCTACATGAGGTCTTATTTTGTGTAAAAACCATTATGTCTGTTTGTCCCAGCGTGTCGGAGGAACAGCTTCCTCTCCTGCTGTCCACTGAGTGGCTCTTCCGTGAATACGAGCTGGATGCACACTTTATTTTTCTGCTGGATGCTTATTAGCATTAGCATCCAGCAGGG